GCCAGTTCTGCCGCGTCGACACCGACTGCGTGACGCCGGGCGACGCGTGCCGCGGCCGCGTCTGCACCAACCTGCCGGCCGTCACCTGCCACGTCATCTACGAGCAGTTCGGAGCCGGCTCCCGCTACGGCAGTTTCGTGCAGCGTATGTTCGGCTGGCTGGACGGCGCGCCGCTGCCGCTAGCCTGCAGGATGGATGCCAAGCTTGGTGGCTACACGCGCCTACTACAAAGCTTTCGGCGGAGTAGGTTCACTCGTGACACCCTGCTGGAGCTGAACCCGGACCCGTTGACCGCTGTCGGGCGTAGTTACTCGATCCTGGGGCGCGCTGATCACCTGGCCGCCGCCGGCAGTAGTCCCACCTTCCTCGTTGCCGTACGCACCAGCCACTGGAGGCAGGGCACCAAGTTTGAGGTCCAGCGTGGCACCAGCCTGTTAAGCCCGAGGCCTCACGAGACTGGGTTCCGGCTGGTGGAGACCTGGGGCCTCCAGGGCAACTGGACACCAGTGCTGCCCTGGCTGCCGGCCACCGGAGGCGTGCTGCTCACGGCCAACAAGGATGCAGCCGGAACGGAAGGACGCATGGCCGGCACCGGTACGCTGTGGTCGCCGCATACTCTTCGGGTGTTCTACTACATCAAAGAACAGTGGACATCCTAGATCGGCAGGCTCCTATGCTGCTTCTTGGAGCAGCAGCCGCCTACGGCCCAGTTGTTTTCTTCTTCTCCTGCACTCAGGGCAGTGAGTGTCGGCGAATCATACGCCATTCTAATCATCATGAAGCACTGGACGTCCGCGGTCCGCACGCTTGGCTACTGCATCCTGGAGAAGTGGGCACCTGCAGCCAACAGGTTCTTCAACTGCACTTTAGGGCATTACGCACTGCAGTCAACAGACTTGTCGATTACATCCGGGGTAGTAAGGGCCTGCGGTCAGCAGGATGTTCTATTGCATCCGTGAAGAGTGGGTGCCGGCGGCCTGCAGACACTTCTCGCGTATCTGAAACCACCTGCGGCCAGTAGGCTTCCGTACCGCATCGGGGAGCAGTGGGTTCCCGCCAGCAACAGGCTCTTCAACTGAAAGATGGAACAGCGTGCCTGCGGTAAGCGGACTCTTCTTCTGCATTCTGAAGCATTGGACGCTCGCGATGAACAGGCTCTTTTACTGCGGAGTGGAGCAGTGGACGCAGACGATTGGCAAGCCATCTTTCTACATCATGGAGTACTGGGCGCCTGCAGCCAGCATGCTGCTCGGCTGCATCTGGGAGCAGTGGGCAGCTGTGGTCAACAGGCTCTTCTGCGGTATCCGGGAGCAATGGCTGTGGGCATCCGTAGTCTTAGCACTGTATCTGGATCAGTGAGCGTCTGCGATTAACAGGCTCGTCTACTGCATCCTGCCGTGGTGAGGCCTGCAGTCAACATGCTGGTTTACTGCATCCGGAAGCAGAGGGTGGCTGCGTTCAACAGGCTCTTCTACTGCACCTGAGAGATGTGGGCACCTGCGGTCAAAAGGCTTCTGCACTCCTTCTGAGAGAAGTGGGCTTCTACCATCATCGGGATCCTCTTCTACACCCGGGAGTGTAACTTGCCGCGGCCTCTACGCCCGGGAGTGTAACTTGCCGCGGCCTCTACACCCGGGAGTGTAACTTGCCGCGGCCTCTACACCCGGGAGTGTAACTTGCCGCGGCCTTGGCGGTGGTTGGTCAGCCTCTTACTGTGTCCGGAAGACCGGAGGGAGGGCAACCGCTCCGCTGCATCAGACAGTGGTTTAGCGACCCTTCCCTTTCATCCAGAAGAGCACAAGTCCGGACGCTGCACACTACATGTTTCGTTCTGTTCTGTGTTGGGAAGACATTGCAAGCTACTACACTAGACGTTGGATGATGCAGACATTTGGATGCCGTAACAGGGAGAAAAGTCCTGCAGTCAGCAAGAGTGCGCGAGTACCTGTTGGCTTTCCTTGAGAGTAAGGGGGACCCTCTTCTTCAAAATCTAACGGACGATTTCTTTCAAGACTGTACTCTGTATATTGGTTGTATGTGATTTCCTGACGATCTTCAACCTATGAGAACTAAAACACCAAATGCTTAGGATCAGTTGAACCTTAAATAAACTCACGCGTTTGAAAAAATCACGTCCCTAGCTCACGATCTTCGGGCTAAGTAGGGTCAAACCAGATTTAATCGGAATTGATGTACGAAGTGCCATCAAACCTCCTTCCCCAACCGGCTTTGCATGGATATATTGTCTTGCAAAAGCCACTCGTGTTATGCCACGCCAGTGACCTTATTTGGCCCTGAAAAAGCGGCATGACCGAAACCCTTCGAGACTATGTTACTTTTTTACTTGAGAGTCGGCGTCAAGAACTGCCCTCGACAACATTTGCCTTGCAAAAATGGTCATTTCAGGCAAATAGTCTACCATGACCGTAATTAAGTCAACACCAGAAACCTGTTAACCTTGCCTTACCTTTTGGTGATGGGGATTTAAAGGGCCACATCGCCTGCTGATTCCGGTCTCTTCGAGCTCCCGTTCAGGTAATCGAATTGTTTCAAATAGGGTTGTCCCCGGTGCTGGATGTCTTGCATAATGTTCCCCCAGTGTACGTCGAGTCTAGATTAAAGTTGGTCAGATGAGGTTGACGATATGTACGCTTTTAAGATGCATTGAGTCGAACCGAGCGCAAAAATATAGGAATTTTGAAGAAATTTACCACAGCGGCTTTTTGAGACGCACTTTGGCTCTGGTAATGAGAGTATCACATTACCTATGCGACGCACTGGTTCAAACTACAACCAACCAACCTACCAACCAACCAACTTTTCGGTAATGGGCCCTTGCCCCTGCCCTCACAAACGTCCTTTCATTCGCACCATGCACTTTTTCGCACCACACACTGCACAATAGAGGCGCACATGACGACGGTGGACGTGGCGACAGGGAAGAGGCGTAGTGCTGTTACAAAGCGTTGACAGTGTGATTTCGGCTCGAAAATAATTAAAATGTATGATATATTTGTGTCAAACTATTATGAACTATTTCATTACCAACATTATTCATATAAAACTGATTTCCTTAGTATGTCTTGAGGGTGCTGCAGCGGCACTACTCACCGCTATTATCAGACATAGCTGCTCGCAGAGTTTCACTGGAGTAGATTGCGGCAATTTCAGACGGCCAGTTTGGCAGCACCTTAATGTCATACATACGTTCCGTGATTCAATAAAAAAATTATGTTTTAAGAATGGTATTTACTATATAGACAAACTGTGTTGGCTAGAATAGTCTTTCCACGTAAAAACATTCCAAAAGTTAGGTAAGCTTATTTTAACCTATCTTTTAGCTAGCTTCATTATTTTCAAATACGAGACATTCCCTTTATTCTTGCCAAGAGCTTGATGATTGTTAGAATGGAACTTTCCTAGAGTTTCTAGGCTTCACTTCCACATTTTCCTAACGCTCCTTGTCTCGAATTGTCTCGAATTGAGTCTAAGAGCAATTTTCGTGCCAGAAACGTAAAATGGCCTACCAATTAACAAGGCATGGTGGTGTGTTTACCAAAACATTATCAGCTTGGTGATGCATTCGGCCGTTCAAACCCACAACAAACTCACTATGTCTGATAATCGCTTCACCCCGTTATGTTATGTCTTCACCCACTACGTACAACATATTTGGCTGTATCCCGTCAGGCAAAATATAGGGCCTGTCTTATTCCATCTGAAGAAGCCAGTTTTTTCGAAGGCGTTCTGGAAAGATCCAATTGTCCGCTTGAAGCCTCTCAGTTTGAGAAATCACATCGTTGACTTTCTTGCTCGTTGCAGTGAAAATTTGCTAAACAATAGCTATTTGGGTGTTATTTACTTGCATCCAAAGCCCTTGCTTAGGGAGCGTTCTGAAACACATGCGTTCTAAATATCTGAGAGCCAGCACGATACTATGCAAAATTATCGGCTTTATGCTATTTGTAAGTTTAAATTTGACGAAATGCTTTTAATATTCCAATGCGCTATTATTACAATGCAGCATTATCATCCCTCTACGACTAAGATGGACAAATGCCATCTTTCATATTCGCCAGTCTTATTTGAGATGCCTTGAGGTTAGGTACGATTATAGTCTAGGACGGCACACTCCTTTGTCTCCATTGGTGCTACTTATCGCTTGGAGACGTCGTATTTCCTTGGCGAATGGCTTTTTTTGCTCGTTTGGATGAATTTTTTCATGCTGACAAATATATAAGAAGACACTGACAACGCATTGTATGCAATGCTAATTCCTCTTCTGTACACTACAAGTATCCGGCGTTTCTATGGCCATATGATATTCATGAGATAGATTTCATGGTGGATAGGTGGTAAAAATTAAGATAGTCTGGATGGTAAAGACGGTCATTAAGTTTATCACAACCCACAAGCAGGATGTGTCTCAAAACCACCCTTGATATTCCAGGACTGGCTTACCATCGACACCACAAGGTGTCAAACGCATAAGTTTCGTACGACATGGGGATATTCACACAAAGCACAGCCAGTGAAAGCTCTGCGGCTTCCAACACCATATGCTTCGCGGCATGATCTATACCTGCCATCATGGAAATATCCTGCAGACGCATACACAATGCCTTTACAGCACGCGGGTTAGGGGAGATTTAACCTGCCATGAAATTAGACCTCCAAATTATCACGAACTGTAGTATGCTTGTAGCATAAGCGAGAGCGCACGACGGAAGGTTTTCGTCCAGCTGAGATCTCATGCTAACTCGGTTGGTCAAATATTTTAGCGCGCCGGGCATCAGCCTTTTATCAGGCAATTTTCCACACTTCTTTCAAAATAACAGACAACCAAAACCTATGAACACTTAGTTCATTTTGGTCAACGGTACCGCAAACCAAACAGTACAAGGTAAAGCATCCCACACCTGCGACGAAAGGATTTTTTAGGATCTCGTTGATTCTTCAATTTTTCATCCTCGACGTGTGGCCTTGGTTGGACAATCCAACAACAACCCTGTCCCTAATAAGCACCTTACAACATACGAAACACGTATGAAGACACATATATTACAGATACCCGTTTGCTTCGATAAAAATGTGTTCATAGTTGAATAACTGCATGCGATAGCAAACTTGAAATAGCGAAGTCATTGAGTAAATCGGGACCTATCCACACAAGCAAATACACGCAACGGTACTCTCCGCGGTCGACGCCCATCCCCGCCGAGCCCTTATCCCTGACAACTCATGTGGTGGCCTGTGGGGACGGCCTGATGTGACCGTTATCAGGTGCTTCCCCCGGCGGTGAAGACCTCATCCATCACCTGCAAAACGACACGTGTGCCTCAGTGGAAGACAGACCGGGCGGTGAAGGGGTTTCGCCGAGATCTTCTGTGTTTAGCGTCTTTGACACCATCTGCCGCTGCCGTGTCGGAAGGAGTTGCACGTGTGGGGCCGCAGAGCTAAACTTGCACCCTTCTTAAGAGACAACTCAAGCCGCTACACTACCGGGACGATTCACGGCTTATGGCTTGCAACGGTACAAGTTCGGGGACGTATCTCATCCATGAACTCAAGACCAGCGGCGGCGGAAAAGAGATGGCTCAACCGCTGTGGTAATACAGCCTCGGACCAGGCTCCTGCCAAGCTAGTGACGTCCGCCACCGGGCACTAGAGCGAAGAGGCCCTCCCGACCGTAACTGAGCTAGGCCCCTGCCAAGCTGGTGACGTCTGACACCGGACACTAGAGCGGAGAGACCCTCCCAGCCGTACCTGAGCCAGGCTCCAGCCGTCCGACACCGGACACCACAGCGAAGAGGCCCTCCCATCCGTACCTGAGCCAGGCTCCAGCTGCCCGACACCGTACGCCACAGCGAAGAGTCCCCCCCCCCCCTCCAGCCGTACCTGAGCCAGCCGAAGTGGATGGCGCCGTCGGTCCGGTCGCCGGTCCGACTCGGCGTCCATCTCGTCCGTGTAGAGCATCACCCGGAAATAGATCCCGGCTAGGATTGAACAGAACTAGCACCTGCAATCGCTCGCACACGGCAGTCTCTGTCACGGAAAAATCGCAAAATGATGTAGTTACCGGCAGCTACGCCACATGGGATGACATCCATCAATCAGCCAGCAGGTAGTCTTTGGTCTGTCACTTTGTTAGTAATGCAATGTGTACGTTTAAAAATAGTGGGAATCAGCTTTTCGTTTGGTTTAGATTAGAGCATGACCATTTTAGGTTTGTGGGATGAGGGAGTAAGGATGACGGTGGAGCAAAACCACAAGCGCCTGGGATTCCATTCAGCGAAAGTTAGCCGACAGAGAGACCCTATACGGGCTGTGCTGGGTGCTCGGGACGGGCTTCCAACAAGGAGTACTTATGGCCACTTGTGGCTGGTACATGTAGTTTGCCACGGACAAGCGGAGTGTTGCGAGGATGCGGGAAAACTGAGTACGAGTAAAGAGCGCCAGACGAGAAATCAGAGATGCATACCTTGGTTTGAGTTATCATAGTTATAACGTTTTCTTTCATTTCAACACAAGAAGCGCCAGAATCACACATGTTGGTCAGTTTCAGCAAAGGACGTGCGAGGAAGGACCGCACAACCGAGACGGGTGTACTCCTACCATTATGGCAGTGGGATTGCTTTATGTCTGCGCAGGTATTCTTCACCTTCCAAAAGAAGAATGACAGCACCATGAAAGCGATGAGGTCCGTCAGAGTAGTATCACACCGTCGGATCAGAAACAATTATTCGGCCAGGAGAGCGGATTCAGCAGATCCCCTTCACGGGACTCAGCTCCAGATAGTGCGGAAGGCGGCCGTCTGATGGCGCTACCGTCATCCCGCCAAATAGCATCAGTGTTGTTCCCACCGCGGGCCCTGATATAGTTACGAAATTCTGGCTCCGCTGTGTCCGGAGGGATAATGCGGCCGTCAGTCCGCCTCTTCTTGGGATAGGCTATAAAGCTCACCGGTTTCACCACAGACTTAACCTGAGCTGATCAAAAGCCTTAAGTCACCTTTTCAGCGCACGACCAGCATCACAGATGATGGCACGGATCACTGACAGCAGCACCGATCACTGATAGCACCGTCCGCTCCATGCTCTCCCGGTCCACTTCCGATCACCGGCCGCCGCGTGCCGGCGGTCACCGCAGCTCAGGGCCGCTGACCGCCGCCGCCCCACATCGCCGCGGGCCGCAGCTGCCGGGAGCACCGCTCTCGTGACCCGCCGGCCGTCCCGCACGACGCCGCCGGCGGGCACAGCGTGCGTCGGCGGGGACTCCGCGGCGCCCAGCCGCCGCCGCCGCTGGCTGCGTGGCCGTCGCCGTCGTCCGTCAGTGTCCATTGAGACAGGGGCGCGGCATCGGCCACCGCCGCTACGCACCGAACGGCCCGGGCACGGCTGACCTACTTCCGTGCACCGGCGCTGACGCCGGCGCCGCGCGACCGCCGCGGCCCGCCGGACGGCACCCCGCAGGACGGCGGCAGACCGGGCAGGGGACGCCAGAGACTGCGCCTGGAAGGGCGCCGGAAAGCGTTGAGGCGGAGTGGGACTCTCTGGAATTTGGCGAAAAAGGGGCGGCAAGATGTGGGTAAATTATCTTCCACGTAAGAACGATAGGTTTGTAGGTGCTCCAAATATGGCACGAAAACGCTGAGTGACTCCTATCACCTTTAAACGTCGTCATTGGAAGCGTGCTAAGCTTCTGGGAATTGGTTTCGTAATCGGATTTCTGAGTCGTAAATCGTGAATGTCCCCAAATCCGGGATCCTTTTTTAGATTTCCGAAGGTTTTCTGTGAAAGACATCCATTTTCTAAGTTTAGTTAATAACCTTTCAGGATCTCAGAGCGCTCCTGAAATACCGTTCGCGGTACTTTGACACTCGCGGTGTCTTCCAAATTTTGTCAATGTATTCTTCGGGAGCTGGCATGCTTTCTTAACCCGCGCCGACCGGAGGTCTGAAGCTCGGTCCTCTCCGTACACGTACACGTACCATTTACTTCCTCTGACGTCCCCACGATTTGCGTCCCCAAAAGTCTGACGGACACGCGACCCTCGCGCACCCTCTCCGTTCTTCAAAGACGCACGGACGTCTCTAACACATATGTAGCGCAGCGGTGACAACCAGCTCATTCTTTCTGCTGGCTCTGTTACGTGAATGCTTATACACGTAAGTTGTGCTGATCTGAGCCTGCAATAAAGACAGATCGAAGCGAACTGGATTGACATCGCAAACCAACACCAGCTTGTTCAAGCCAACAGCAATCGAAAGCCAGAATTCGGTTTCACTAGCCGTTCTAAAACTGCTGACATCAAATCACCATCTTGATCTGCAAAAACCACAAAACCACGTTGGAGTTTGGCAGCCAAGTCCAAGCGAGGAAATTGCTGAGCAGATCGTTTTAACACCTTCACCACAAGAAAGGACACATGCGATTTTACCAGCCGTTCTGCAGCTGGTGACCTCAGATCACCATCTTCAACTTCAAAAGCCGCATAAACCTCTTTACGGCATTGCAGTAAGTCCTAAAGCTCGGAAACCGCTCGACGGAGCTGCCTGGAGCCTTTGCCAGCGGATAAAGCTCATACGATACGGGTCACATACACATACAGCTCAAGCGCCTCGCCCAGACCGCGCGCCAGATCAGGCGTCACGCCTAGACTGTGCGCCAGTTCAGGTGCCTCGCCTAAACCGCGCGTTAGCTCAGGCGCCTCGCCCAGACCGCGCGCCAGATTAGGCGCCTCGCCCAGACCGCGCGTAGCCTTAGAGACCGGCCTCAGGCGCTAAAGCGTCTCGCGTGGTTTGGGCTCCTAGTTGGGACCGAACACTACCTCAGGATCAGCGTTCGTCCAGTGCACGTGCCGAGCTTTGGTAGCACGCATCCTTGATGGCCCACGAGCTGAAAACCGCTTTGTTTCGGTGCGTCTGGGGCGTTAGCATTTGTAACACAGCGGCCGTATGAGGACGCCAGCGTCCGGCGCACTGAGCATCAGTAAGTCGTGGCCTCCGCGATCACACCTCTGCATCAGGAGATGGAAAGATGTTCATGCACTGATTGCGCTGGTAATGTGACAGTACAAAGATGATGAAATGTCGTACATGTATTATCGTAACACAAAATAAAGGCACATCTTGGATAACGGATTCACATGCATATCTCACACTTCCAGCTCAGGAGATACGCCCACCACACTTGTCGTCCGCTAGCTGTAATTCATGTACAATCCTAAGTATGACATTCAGTATACTCCCCCTCATGCAGATCTTGAAAAACTCTCATCCCTGTCTCACTCTCTCTACGAGAGTCTAGCCTTCCTGGAAGTGCACAATGGCCTTGGGGAAAGCCTCGTCCGCGTTGCTGGTTTGCACCGAGAAATGCCACTTGGACCCTCTGTTGCAGGAGCTCCACGCTCCTTTTTTTAGCTGTACCTGCTGGTCAGGAGTGGTTCTCGACAGCGTGTGGAACGCCGGTTCGGAGGCTTTCCTAACCCGGGCCGCTGGTGCCAGCGCCTGCTGGGAGGCCGTCCACAGCTTCTGGGCCGCTGGTGTTGCCGACGTCGGTTGGGAGGCCGTGCCCACCTCCTGCGTCGCTCGTGTCGGCGTTGACTGAGCAGTCGTCTCCGTCTGCTCCGCTCGTCCCGGTGTCGGCTGGGTGGTCGCCCAAGCTTCCCCAGCACTGGCGTCCAGCTTCTCTTCTGGCTGGTCCGCTAGGACGGCGAGATCTCCAGCACCGTTAAAGAGCCTGCAAGCAAGTGCCAACTCACTGGTGCTACTTGCAAACCGATCATTAGTAAGAATACCAACCAGGCCCCATGATCGCCAGGCGGAACACATCCACGCAGGGGTGCGATATCCCATTCAGTTGAAAAGCTGCAGCCCCTCCCCAAACTTTTTACATTTCCGCTGCTGAGCCCCCTCCCCCCCCCCCCCTCCTCCATACCCACCCAAACGAATTTTTCCGAACCACACCCTGCCGCCAGTTTTACACATGTCGGGGAGGAGTCAGGTAGCGACAGGGGGCCGCATATGATGCACGCTGCTGTGGCTGCTAAGTGCAGGCGAGGGATATGATGCACGCTGCTGTGGCTGCTAAGTGCAGGCGAGGGATATGATGCACGCTGCTGTGGCTGCTAAGTGCAGGCGAGGGATATGATGCACGCTGCTGTGGCTGCTAAGTGCAGGCGAGGGATATGCGAAGGCCCATGGGTAGTCGAGGGTCTTGCCACTAACAACGCTCCGGATTATTACATCACAGCCACCAGGTTATTGGTGTTACTCATTAGCCAACCGGTTGCAATATTTGTTTGTAGATGCTTTTATTGTTCATGCAGTGTATCCTTAGACTACACGTGATCTGCTCACTCTTCAGTAGCCTGGGTTTGCTGCTGTGAATTTTCCTTGCCTCTTGATACACAAATACGATCTCTGGACCAGGGGCGGCTTATCCGAATTTGAGATGGGGGGCGAGTGTAAAGACCTTACGGCCCCCCCCCCCCCCCTGAGTCAATGGGCCCCTATATTTCAGTGCAGGAGTGCGTAACCAGAGCCTTGGCAAGGCAACGGCGCAGGGTTGACGACCGCCCGCTAATAGAAAAAAGCCCCCTCCCCCCGCCAACCAAAAATCACGGAACGTGGGCCATTTGTTGATGAGGGCATGGTTATATTTTTTTTCCTTTTACCTTCTATAACTGGAACATGAGCCAGAGACTACGTCGGGGTCAATTCTGACTGAATTTTAAACAGCTTTTTTCATTTAAGGTGCATCAACGTGGTGGTTGTTCTGCGCGTTGTCGTACAAGAAGACAGAATATACACACACTACAGAGATACACATATACGCATATATGCACAGTTTCAGTCAATGAGCCAACTATTTAAAACCGTCAAGAATGCCTGGCGCGAGGGGACGCGGGTGGCCGCCGCGGGCAGCCGGTTATACGCGGCGGCGCCCGGTACGGAGTGTGCCGCTAGGTGGCGCTCAGTCGGACGCGTGGAAGGTGAAGCAAGCCGACACCGCCCGAAACGAACCGATGATGGCCCTTTGCAGGCCCCAAAAAGGTGAGAAGGGCCTCTACCGAGCCTGAAGTTTTCCGTTTCTCAGCCTGTACTAAGTCCTTGCCTGACTTGGGACGCACCACTTTTGACTTTATGATGGACACTTTCCAGTTTTGAGAGGGCTCTTCTAAACTTGCTATTGGTTCTTTTTACAACGTGAGACAGGATCTTTTTGCTAACGACCAGACCTTTTCAGAAAAGAAAGGGCCTCTGCCGTGCCTAGAAGTGGCATGAGTGTTTTAGGTCATTTAAGCCCAAGATGGGACGTTAGCGGACACGAAACTATCGTCGTCTAAGCTTAAAACGCGCTCTTTCCGGACCACACATGTTCCCTCTACGCTTGCTTTCATAGCACAGTAAGCAAGTATTACCACATACCCGAGGTCCCTTCTGGGCCACCTGAAATTATTGGGAGGGGAAAAGGTACTTTTGCCTCCGCCTTAAAATATGGGGAGGACTGTTCGCCCTAGCTGCACCCCGGTTACGCCGCCACTGCTCTGGGCCTGAAATATTAACATGCACGGTTGCGCCGGTCAGTTGAAATCTATCCCGGTGGTTTTCCGTGTTTTGGGTCATCGGCGATACCAAAGTTCCACTTACAGTGTGAGATCCAACATCCACATTTACGCTGGCAATGCGCTATTCTGTCATGAACGCTTCTTTCTTGGTTCATCTTTATCTTAATTCCAATCATAGCAGTCATTCACTTACCCTCTTCGCTGCATATGGACGTGCATCAATGTGTCAAAGGCACCGAACAACGCGCATGTCCGTACTTTCCAGTGGCTTACTGCAATTACGCTGGGAAGAGGCCTCCTGGCCTGCCGGCCCGCCCTCACATATCTGTTGTTAAAAGAAACCCACCGGGTTTTGATAGCCACCACTGGTGGACAATGGGTGAATAATTGCATGAACTGCCATTAGAAGCACCATGCTTGCTTCATGATTTGATCAATCGTCTTAAATGCATTCAGCAACATACTTATTGTTCAGCCTACCTTGCTCTACCATTTACACCTTGAAATAACCAAAATCATTTTTTGCCTGTTTCACACGCATCCATTGGATGTACTTCTTTAATATGCATGCCATTTTTCAGCTACAAGTTTTAGAC